ATTCTTTTACTCATTTTCAACCACACATTTTTCAATAAAATAATATTTTCTATCACTTCAATAAGTTTTCCTTCTTTTTCAACCACACATTCTTCATCAATCTACTATTTCAAAATACATTCTTTCAAAATAATATAGCGCAAACACACAATTGGTCTTGCATCCAAATGCGACATTTTACAAGAATAATGCAATGACAGATAAAATCTTCATTATATATAGTATTACACAACGCTGGCGGACCCACATGAGGTCATGTGGGGTCAAATGACCCCACAAATAATTTGAGTTTTTTTTTTTTTTTTTTGTTAGAACTTGTGAGAGAAAGAGTGCATGGAGAGAAATAGTCAATTAAGTGGGAATATTATATTATTTAATCAATTAAGTAGTTTGTGTAAAATTATATAAATTCNATATTATTTAATCAATTAAGTGGTGAGTGTAAAAATTATATAAATTCAAATTTTGTTCAACAATTTGGTCTTATAAACTATGGCATTTGTCCTAATATTGTTTTATATTTTTATCATTATTAAATTTATGGTCGGACTTTATTTGAAATTGAATATTTCATTTCGCTTATTGGTTTATTGAATTTTAAGCTCATAGATTAGCTAATTAAGAAAAATATGGATACACATTGCATACTTTAATTTAATGTACATTTCAAGCCCGCAAAAACTCCGATCTCGATTAAATTCCATCTACATAGAACAATATTATTGGCTACACTCCTAAATATTTGCATATGTTGTTGTTACAATTTGTTATTTTCTTGTAGCACTCATTGGATATCACACATTTGTGATTATCGTTGATGACAATATTCGTCTTTCACTTGAAAAATTCAACCGACTTGTAGCAATGGTTAACATGTTCGTTGTTGTTCATGTATTAAAAATTATCAGGTAAATCCTTTTTTTTTTTTGAAAATTTCATGCTCCGATTTATTCAACGAGTTATATTTTATCGTGTTTATTCATCTTTAGCTTTTGAAAAACTCATGTATATGTCATGTCAGTGTTTGACATAATAGAAAGTTGGGGTGTAAGGCAAGGCACGATCGAGCACCAATGACTAAAATTTATTGTCCTTGGAACGCCTGAG